CTTCAGGATTTTTTTTTTTTGAAGGAGCAGAAGACTAAGCAAGGATTGTAAAAGTTCCAGAAATTATCTTCAGCCAAACAAAACCTTACCAAGAATCACAGCTCACAGCTACCATTTCAGTGAGGAGCTTAGCTATGTCTTTTAGGAGCAGCATCCTGCGCTAGGCACTGCCATCTCAAGTAACAATTTCTACAACCTAGACTCTCCAGAGCTTGCCATTGGGATGCCAAACCAGGACATTAACAGCTTACATGTCCACACTAAGCAATGAGGACTGTGCTGTGACACTTTAAGTAAAACTGAATTATTTGTCTCCAGAACTGGGACAGCGTAACTGAACCGTACCATTCCACAGCATCAAAGGGTCAAAGCCAAAATGGGTTGGAAAGTCAGGCATAAAGAAAAAAATTGTTCCTCCCATTATTTCTTATCTTATTTGTACAGCTGAAAAATCTACATTTTCCATCTCTGCACCATCAATCTCTAACCTACTGTCTCTGCCAAAAGATACATACTTTATGGGAAAAGAGCCTAAAAGCTAAAGTAAAGACAGAATCTAAAATACATTAACCAATACTCCTTTATACCAGTGATTCCTTCCATCTACTTCTCTATACTTTGCATTGCAATGCTTATATATCGCAGTGATTTATTTTCTACTGCTGTACAGCACAGTAACTCTAACAGACTTCATTGTAAATCTCAGTTTTACTTGAGCAAGCCAGTTTGCAATGAAATATTTATGCGTATTCCATGGTTATTTGCTCCAAAAATCTCACTTTTGGAAGCAGCAGTATCACTCAAGGCAGTACACAGGACATTCACAAACAACATTTAGGCAGTACCACGACTAAGTTACATTTTGTGAAGATAAGGAAGCTACTTAGAGGCAGATAAAGCAAGGAATCAGAAGTAGAAATTTCCCTTCTGAATCACCAATTATCATAGATCACATCAATCTGATTGATGCCTTGTACCTACCTGGGGGCTTACTGGTCTCAGTGGACTAATACGAACATCATTACTGTTGCAAAAACACATTCCTGTTAGAAATGACAAACACAAGGACTGAATGTGTGTAGGTATCTCTATATATCCCACTCAGGGAAACTGTCAGTGAGGAGACATAGGCAGCTCAGAAACAGGCACGTGTTTGGCCTAATCAAAACCCCACCTTAGTGTTATACGCGAGGCTGAAACAATAGCGCTTCTTCCTCCTCATTCACTCTTCTCTTTCTGTGTTTTCCTTTTAATACATCCTGCTGTTATGAAACACAGCTGTTTCTGGAGGATCCAAATTATTAGCTTTGAAGCTGCTGCATAGCAGAAATCTGTAATGAAGCTATTTTGTACTAGCTGTGGAAAGGCCTGAATATGAAGTTCAGATACACATATGAAGTTCAGTACAACATAGCCAAACAAATTTTTGAAAGTCATATTGTTCTCTTACCTCTCAGAAATGAAACTGCAACCTAATCTACTTTAAAACAAATACTCAAAGCACTTGTATTTTTTATACTTTTGAGTTCGCCTGCAAGTATTTCCTTAAGGCAAAGACAAGTAGCTTGGGCACAGAAAGCTGGTTACTCAATCACGGTAAGCTCCCAGCACACTTCCACATAACTTACTATAAGAAAGCAAACAAAGACATTTTTGCTAATTGGTAGGCCCCTTTTATTTATTTTTTAACTAAACCTATTTCATTTATATATCAAAAGACATTTCAGACCATACTTAAACCAGTATCAATATTAGCAGCGCAGAGATTAACAAAAGCCATAGCTAGACAAAACCTCATTATTGGTATATTTGTAACAGCATATTTAAAGCAGTAGCGCCTAAAGAACATTGGCGCTATGTTCTTTAGGCTTAATCTTGTAAAGATGAAGCTTTATCTTAAAAGCTTAATCTTGTAAAGAGTTAAGTCCCTTCATCATTGACATTTTGATTACATCATACAAAACATCCAAATTAAAAAAACATCCGAATTACAAACTTGGGTTTGTATCATAAATATGAGGAGGAGGGGCACTTTTACTTCCAACTGAAGTAGTAAGGTTTGGTGGTTATTGTTTGGGGTTTTTTGTTTACTATAATGTTTATTATTATATCAGTGTAGGAGCAGCACACAGAGATTGAATAATATGTATCACAGCTGAGGTGTCACATTATTGCCCTGTGGTGAAGTTAACACAACTGAACACATGTTCATATCTCAGCTATTTCCTGTTCACAGTCTAAAACATTAATCTAAACTGCAGGTGGACTTGCTGCAAGTTTATAAAGTACAGTTGGCTTTGCTATGAAGTATTAGATTGTGAAACAGAGGAGAAGTGATTCAGCTATAGTTGAGTACTGCTTAGAGGGGAGAAGGACCTCCAGCAGAAGCAGGGGGTATGTGATGCATGAGGAGGGATACAGGGAAGAGGAGAGGAAGCACTTTAAATTGCTGCAGCCTTTTTGCTCAGTGGCCGCAAGCCAGAAACCCAACTCTCTGTCTCTCAGTGGTCCAACTGAAAACCAGGATAGTACTTCTCTCTAAAGTATGGTGAGTATACTATAAGTACACTATATATTAAAAGGACACACACTTCTTGCATTGTAATAATAGGGAAGTATAAACTTAGAATAGAGCAGCTCCATAAGGTCCTATTGGCAACGCCTCCAATCGACCTCCATACTCTTCATACAGAAGATGCTACAAAGATGCGAGAAAGAATGTTAGAGCAGCTTGGCTTTACTTTGCCAGAAGCGGAACCCGCCTTCTACTTTGCTTTTTCCTTCACAAGGAAGCTTAAAATTCAGCTGAATAATAGAAGTAGTATCCTAAAAGGTATCTGATGTAAATTAGATAGCACTAATTTAGTCCCAAACAGGAACTACAGAAAGTCTACAAAAAGCTGGAGGAGATGGCCTCTAAACCCTCCAACTATTCCTCTCTCTCCTGACAGTAAATATAGACTAAATAGGCCTTCATCCACTTGGTATCTCAAAAAAGGAATGGACAAAGTCCAAGAGGAAAGCTAGGAATGATCTAGTCTAAATTACTAAAGAGTCTTGACACATAACAGAGCTCAACCTTCACAGGCACTGGCAGATTAGAGGAACTATTCTGATCTACGTGCAATTCTGGCAGAGCCTTAGTCACAGGTTCAGAACTATCAGATTCAGAGTATATTTATGAAAATAAAATATTGAAAGATGCTGCCATCAGGAACTGAAATGCGACAGAAATGATAGTCTTTAATAAAGTTATCATTAATGGAAGACAATGCAAAAAACCAAAATTCCCAACAGGCCATGAGACTGAATGCCACAACACAAACATTAATATTTTCAGAAAGCAATTTACAATAATCTAAGTTAAGAGAGGAGAATTTTAAGAGCAGTCCAGAACTGTCCATACAATCATGAGAAATACCCATTTTATGACTCAGTAAAGAGTAGTCTCGACTTTCATAAACTCTTAAAAGTAAGCAAACAATAAAAATACCCAGAAGACTTTTTTTTCTTCATGAATCAAAAAGTGGAAAATTTCCATTTATAGCATAAGACCAGCATAAGTTCATAAGATATTAATAAACCTCATGGAATGAGGTAATGAGTAGTTAGCTAAGATTTCTTACTCCTTTCTAATCTTACCTGGAACATTAACTATTAATTTCAATTGACACTAACATTATCTGTAACAGCATTGTTAAATGACTGAGGGAAAAAAAGAAGTCCTGTTATTTTTCCAATTTACTCCTAGAAATGATTTTTTAAAAATTATTTTGACTGATAAAAAGAATTCAAGACTGTAAAGCACTGTCAGGAACTGTGACTACAGAGTAAGTTTAAAAAATTAATTCCATAACTTGCCATTTTTCCATCATCTTTAACTGATTTGTTTGCAAGATCTTTCTAGAATTAATTTTGCTTTTTGAATACACTGCCTTTGAGTTGACTATCAATATGACTAGCCTTTTTCTATTTTATAGAGGCCTCGAGTTATTAGTTGTCTTATGCTCCCTCTTCTGACTCTGTAAGAAATGGCCCCAAAACCCTTTAAGAAGCTTCTCTGAAAGAACAGTTTGGGATTTGATACAATACTTCAAAGAATTAAAAAGGCATAAAGTACAATTCTGTGGAGTGGCAAATCCTTGTGAAAGTCAGAGTAGAGCATCTGTCTTCTACTTTTTTCTACGGCAGAAGCCTTAGAAAATAAAATCCTTCCTGCAGCATCCATGGTATTAATTACTATACAAGTCATTTATGATACTCTTAGGAAATTTCTTCATAATGTTTCAAGGTGGAAAAAAAGAACTACAAGTTTTCATTGCTGCATAGTTCTTAGCAATATTTCTTTATCAACTCTGCTGCTCAGTCGAATCCACAAAATCTTCCTCAAGTCTCCTGTTTACCCTTTGTAATGTGATGTGAAGGACAGTAATCTACTACCAGTGTGACACAAGCACCGTATTAACTTTTCACATTTTGAAAACAACTCATGAAGTGGCCAATGGGATATAATCTATAAAATATATCAGGGGAAGTTCCCCACAGTTCAGAAATTACTTAAGGGAGGACTTAGTATACTATTTCTACTATCTCGTAAGGTGAATGGTCTTCAGGACAGCTTACTGTTTTGCCTTTTATTTACTTTTACTGAAGAAAAATGAGTCATCTATTGTGTTACTTTGGGTTTTTTTTATAAAATGTTTCATTTAATAAGGATGCTACTGGAATGTCTCTCTTTATTACATGAACTGTAACGCATTATAAGATTTAAATACATAATTTTGTTGTTACAGCTAGCAAAAGCTATTAAACTAGTTTTGTTGTATATTAGAAACAAGTGATTTCATACAATAATGGTATCTACATTATCATGACACGCCATGAAACTAAGCCTTTGTCATTACAGACACTGAAATCAGAAAGCCACGATGAAATACAATTCCTAAATTTCCTACACAGACCTCTATTCCACTAAGCATTAACGAAATCCAGGTACTTACCAGATCAATCAGACTCTCCTGGATTCTGTTCAGTGTGGTGCGTAATCTGCTACTACTGAGGCCCAGTCCTGTTGATTCAAACTGGGAGAAATACATTCTATTTAAGTTGGGAAAGGAAAACCCATTGGTTTAAACTTTACAGTGATACAACAAAACTTCAGTTTGTAAACACTAGCTACAATTTACTTACATTGAAGTTTTAGCACATAATCACAACTGTACAAAATGAAAAGAAAATCAACAGAAGTCACAGCACTCAACACTGCACTGGTGTGAAGAATGACCCTTCATGAAGATGACAGCTTACCATTCATACCAATAAACAAGCAGTATCCTTTATTGTTATAATACTGTATTTGGGTGCAGGACTCCAGATTTTCTCATTTGAGCGATGAGCCCAGAATGGTGCACCACGATGCCCCCACTGAGACTTGCATGCACACCACACCCCAGCCAAATGGTCTTGACTTCTCTCTCAAGCTATAAAATTTCTTGTAATGCCTTATTAAATATCTAACTTGCATATGTGAAATTATATCCATTGATCTTTATAAAACAGTCATTATTACTTAATGCTTATAAAGATCTACCTGAGAAATGTGCCATCTTCATGTTCATGGCTCAGAAGTATTATGGGGCAGATGTTCAGCTGGGATAAATCAATATAGCTACACTGATTTCCTGGTAAATGCAATGAATTATACTAGCTGAGGGTCTGATTTGACATGCATAATTAATGTAGCTACTCATCTTCTACTTCCAACTAAAAAAAACAAATAACAAACTAACACAATAAAGGAAGTGGAAAAGGGACAGCTAAGAAACACACATTTACGTCAAGAATCTGGAAGTATTTGAATACAGTTCTGGTATGTGATTCACACCAAAAGGCAATTTACTGAACAATATTTAGAGCACTGTTGTACACTGTATTATTAGACTTCCTTCCAATGCACTAAATCAGGGAAGGAAGTGTTCAAGTTCATGCCATCCCATCCGCTCGTTTTAAATACAAAAAGGTATAATTCAGGTCCCCATTTACCGCATCTAACTTAAGTTTCTCACTTAAGATGTCCATCAGCCCCAATCCTCCTACATATTCAATGAAAATTTACATCTGAGCTGAATTCCCACTGGAAGTACACTCTGCTGAAATCTAGAACCTGATTTAGGAGACATAAATCACTATCCTAGTGTCCACGTTTGATAAAAAGATGTGTTCACGCCTTTGTTTTTCCACAGGGGAAGCAAACTTTTTTACAAAAATAATTTGTATTTTTCTTCACATATTTACTGTAGAAATATCAGTTCTGAACTGCCTTTGATTTTGCAGGTGAAAAAGAAAATATCTTTCTTCCCTTTAAGAAACACATCCTTAATTCTCTTTTTTTCCTCCTTAACGTCATATAGTAGTTTTTCAAGACATGGCCGTAAGGACTGCAAATTCAAGAATGGCTATTCTCCCTGTTAAGGTAAGAACAAACAGAAAAAATACCCTGCTTAAAGGGAAAAACCATATATATTAAAAAATGTATTTGCAAGTTTCAGCCATTAAATTTCATTTTAAGAAATTTGCACTTGCACCATCAAAATTACACAATCTGTCACTAATTCTTTCTCTTTCTGCATTTCAATTACTAACGTTCAATAGCTATCAGTAACTTTCACTTACTTATTCTATAATCATAGATTTCTTTCTAAAAAATAGCAATTTCACATTTGAAACATATCTGAATGAAAAGGAATGTAAAAACAAACTTAAATTTCCATAAAACATTACATATCAAGAACGCCAGATTTATCAGGCAACCAGTTACAGCCTGAAGTCAGAATTGTGCATCCATATGTGTGAGGGGGAAAAACCACAACAAACAAACAAACAAAAAAACCCCCAAAAGATTGTTGCTCAGCATTTTTCCACAAGAACCTCGTGACTTCACACAGAACATGTCACTCATTGGTATAACTGCTTGGCTTCATGGAAGTTTTTGCTATTTCTATACGCAAATTGGTAGATATTTAAATTCCACAAATTGATGACCTAGTAAGGCTAGTAAGCAGAGTATTAGACAATTTACAGAATAATTTTACTCATCACCAATTCTACATAACCTCTTACAGTGTGTGTGTGGGGGAAGTGTTTTCTGTAAGAATGGCCATTGGTTTACAAATTATTATGTCTTCTCAAAAAAAATTAAAACTCACCTCAAATTTATTCTGCTAAGGAAAACTGTTCTGCGGCATGTTCATGAATGTCTTACACTTTAGTGAGAAGATATTAAATATAGGTAATTTCTTTTAATTTCATGTTAGGATGCTCCATAATTTGAGATAAGGATGAAAGGCAGCCTTAACTTGCACTCCACAAATTAAAAAGGTTTTGAAAGAGTAATTCTGGTTACAATGTTGTGCAACTTTTGGCAGTGAAGAAAGCCAAATACTGACTACATAGGATAATCATTCTAAAGAGGTCTGGAAAGAGCAATGACTTAGCATCATGACCGGACATAGAACTCAACATATATATTTTAAATCCTTTGTTTTCACTGAACTGGCAATGAACTCTGTACAGTTAGTCACTCTCCTTATGTGTGTACTAACTTACACATACAAATTAGCACAATATTCACAAAGAATTTCGACCACTTAAGGAAGTTGCATTACCAGCATACTTTTAAAAGTTCCATTTGATGCTATTTTGTAAATAAAAATAAAACAGAAACACTCTCAGTGGTCTAAATCACATACCATCACCCACCTTTACTTTCTAAAGGTTTATAAGCACTATGGGGAGTGAGGACATTTAAGCAGCATTACAAGAGGGTTTATTACATTCATAGACCCTTTGTAACCATTATGTTTCCCACGGAAAAATCACCTGTCTAAACAAAAATTAAGCATGCTACAAAAACATCACAATTTTACCACCCATCTGCTATAATGTTTACCTGCCTAGCACTGTGCTGTTCTCTGTTAGAAGTAAAGAGTGAGGAACTCAGTATGAGCTTTAAAAACACAGAACGGGAGGTGCAAAAAACCAAAAATAAATGTAAATCAATGTGAATACCAAAGCAGCTGACTAAGCCAATGGAAATCAATTATCTTAACAAAAAAAAAAACAACAAAAAAACCCCACCCATCTTCTAAACACAAACAAATTGCAAATACGTGTGTCCTGCCAAAGAGAACAGCTCAAAACCATTTACAACCGTATGTTGAGTCTGAAAATCCACTACAATTTGCCAACAGATGATGATGAATTTGGAACCCCACATCCTACTTGTGGAGTAATTTAGGGGCCAAGGGAGGAGAAAACTGTTTTTACACGCAGCTTTTCATAAATGCTTTAAGAAAATTCTGTTGAAAGTTGATCTATGTTATGTACAGACATTGCCAACAAGCATTTATTTCAACTACAAGATCACTCAAAAAAACTCTGTTTTCATTAATGAAGTTAGTTTGACAGAAGAATACTAGATCTGAAAAAGTGTATTTCAAACCTCTTAAACCTGAGTTACTACTTAACTTTCAAGGCCCCCATCTTCTCCTCCTTTTCTATTCTTAGTTAAGTTAGAGAAATACATACAGGAAAGTCAAATCAACTCATACTCTCTAGGCTCCAAACCACCACTCTCCTTCCACAGACTGCTCCTTTGCTCCCTACTTTTAAGTATTTCATGTTGCCTTTTCTCCCTGTCAAAATACTGCTGGAAAAAGAGTACAGAATCTATTCAAAATGTAATAGGATTCATGTCCCCGTGATAATGATGCTCCCAGTGCTTATTCCTCTTATTGCTGATCTAATCAGCCTTTTCTTACTCCTGCATCCAAATCCATTCTGTTGCCCCTAATTTTTCTGGGGATTACATATTAGGAAGTATTTTAAGTAAAGAGATCTCCTCTGTATTCTCATTCTGTGTGTACAGTGATACTTGGAAATGAATAATGTTTCTACCTACCGTGTCATTTCGGCCAAAAAACGTATAGACTGCATACAGATAGTAATCGAAGAGCTGGGACATGAAGTGGATCACATCAAATGCAATTGGTTTCAGAATATTCATCATCTGCATGTATTTCCCTTAAAAATTAAATACAGAAGATCAGTTTCCTCAGCATAAGTGCTACAAAGACCGTGCTGAGTTTGACAAACTCAACCCCAGCTTTTCAAAGTTTATTATTAGCATTGAATATTGATTAAGAACAATTTAGTAATATTTTAGAGATTGGGATGTTTAAAAACAAAGCTAAATATGATGACTAAGACACCACAAATACCTCAAGACTCTCCAAATGTGGATGTTAATCCATATTAAAACATCTTGAACTATTCTTGGCCTCTGGTACCAAATTTAAAATATACAACTTTCTGGATCCTCTCAAGTTTCAGCTTCATTTACCCAAAAAATAATAATCCCCTCAAGTAGTCTCTAGCAAATGATATATAGAGTCACTGAAGATTTTATGCATTAGTGTGTGTTCATATATGCATATATGGATATTTTTCAAGCAATAGAAAAGCACTGTATACAAATGATATGCCCAAGATTGGATTTCATCCAACAACTCTAGGAATAATGTGTTTTCACATCAGCAAGACAGCATTTCCTGCTCTCCTTCCTTTTTATCCTTGGGTAAGAAACCCAAACAGTTTTAAGATGCATGTTTGAAATGTTTCTAGAGGAACAGACTGACAGAAAAGGAGGATGCTGGGACCCTGACACATCCAGGGAGAAGAATAATTCCTTCTCGTCCTTCCTGTTCTCTGTTGTTGCCCATTTGACTTGGGAAAATAAACATTTTAAAAATTTAGCAAAACCTCAGGACCTTCATCTATTTGTTAGCTGAGTCAAACTTATCATATGGTTTGGACTCAGAAAGAAATTCTTCCCTACAGGTCTAGTTCACAGGGCCTATAGTTTTCAATTATTTTGTTTTCCAGCATAAGGCATGGCTCTTTTCATAGAGTCATACAATAAGTGTACTTCATGAAAACCCCAATATTGCAGATACCTCACATTTCCTGCTCAAAATGACACACTGCTTGCCCTATTAGCATCTTAAAAACATAAAGACTATATAATAAGCTTTGGGTTATTATAGTAACAGAAGCAATTTTTGAACCAAAACGTAAACGCAGTCCACCCAGCATGTAGGATATAGCAGATCATTCAACAAATTGTCATATTCCAGACATGTTTTGATGTGATGGGTTGGAAAAAACTACATGAGGGTGCTAAAATAATTTCTTTTTCCTGTAGTCAGCAACACTGTTTTTCAAGGTAATGTTGTGCCCACCAAAGTAATATACTAATCGACAAGAAACTGTTGTTTTATGCAGAGAAACTGAGTAACAAAAAAACAAAATTAGCTGTTAGTATCAGGGGGAGTTATTTGAATTTTTTTAAGCAATTACTTGTGTAGGTCAGTAAAGATAACATTAATTTGACAAATACATGATACAGATACATACCTGGTAAGATGATATAGCAGTATGGTAAGAATCAAGCAATAACCTGACATTGCTACTTTCCAGGTTTCTATCTAGCTTAGACCCCCTCCTTGAATACTGTGCATCTGTGTCCCAATTTGCTAACACATGCAAGCATATATTTTGTTATTTTTGGAGATTTGACACAGGTTGCAACACTTTAGATTTGGCAGTTTAGCCCAATTGTTAATTCTACGTTTAATTATCAATGTTTTGATCTACAGCATTATGAACAAACTGAAAAGTAGACTTCAAAAATTCTATTTGTCTTCCAAAAGGGAAATCAAATGCAGCTAATTCTAGCACAGCCCAAGGTGGAAATTTTCAGATGTTTGGGAAAGGATGGTACCCTAATCAAAGCAGCTGTCACCTCCATATGTGCTATCTGAATATTCTGTATTGCCACAGCCTGATTTTTTCCACTTACTCTGTGATAAACACATTCTTAAACTCGCCTGCAACCCCTACACTATATAAGGGTAATGTGTCACATTCTGGACAGTTACATTTCCAAATGTCTGGGCAGCTGGTATGAATATTCAAGGTAATCTCTCAGGCAGCATCCTATGCTTTTCCAAAGGGCTATTCACTACACACTGCCCAAGTATTGTCCCTATGAAAATCTTCTGATGCCAAGAACATTTCTCTATTACTACATCACTCAGCATCTTGACATAACAAGTGTTCCAAGAACATTTCCTCCTAGTTGCTCTCTCTAACAGGACGCCAACTTTTAACTTCTATACATTGTTACCTAGTTGCACTAAAGTTCCTATTTTGGGTGAAAAGGGATATATAAGAACATTTCCAAACAGCACGAACAGCCCAAACCCATGCCGTGCTAGAAACTTCCAGAAATACTTGAAAACACCACTTAGAGTTTCAATGACTGAAAGTAGCTTGACTTTCTAGAGGCTCTCCATTAATAGCTAAAACTGCTGAACATTTGCCAAGTTTCTTTTGAAGTACTATTTCCAACACTTCTTTTGTCCTTAAATACAGTAAGTAGAGAGTACTCTCTATCAGGCTAATCTATATAAAACTGATCACTAAAACCAAAAAGGTAAATAAATACACAACCTCCTGAATAATACATATTTGAGTTTTAGTATATCTATGGTCATTAGTAAAATCATTTTCTAGGGAGCTTCACAATTCCAAATACGCAGCTTCCTACAACATACATTAGGAGATAAAATGCCACTTCGAAGGAAAAAGTGAAAAGCCCATTGTGATTATATCATTTTGAAAGACTCTATGATTTAGGGTTTTTTAAGTCCTACGAGGTTCTATGCTATGTGACCAATCACTTGCTTTAGCTACAAGATTTCTGCTGTGAGATTTGTCATCACCATTACTACTTTCCTAAAAGTTTATGGGTTTTAGACCAAGAAAAATCTAAGAGTTTCTTCCCAAAAACCATTCACAACAAAAGCAAAAATGAGGAAAAAAAAAGGCATTAAAAACCCCCAACCTAAGAAATAGTTTAATGGGTATTTGTTAAGTCAGAATGATATTAACTAAAATAAGAAATCACCCAAGCAATATATAAAATGGCACAGTCATTAATTGTTGTTGTTGATGTATAGAACCTAGGTCGAAATATTCCATACAGATTTAACACAGGTTCATTCTTCCTTTACATTTTAAGTCACCACGCAATGGCTTGATAGGAAAAAAATAACCTTGCAAATTAATCTATGGTTACTTTATACTGGAAACAGAGAAATAATTCCCTGGCTTATAAACTTGAGGGAAAACCAGATAAATTGAACCGTTCACTTGAAATTCAAATTAAATGAGGTTATAGTAGCTCTCACTTCATTTATACATAGCAACTCATTTATGTAGTTTATATATATATTAAGCTACACTTTGGTTTATTCATCTAGCCTTCATACAAAGCATACAGCACACAGAAATAGTTCAAAATGCGCTATGGGCACTGTTATACCCATTCAGTGAGTACTATTACTTGCATAACATCCTCTCCTAAAAAGTGAGACAACAATTTCTGTTACTTGATTGGGCAATTTAAATCTGCATCTTCATCTCACTCCAAACTTCTGTTTTTATACGTAGTTTCCTTTATGATTTGTTTTTAACTGAGGTGAGGTTGCTGATCTAGATCTGCCAAAAGTCATGCTGATACAACATACAGGAGGCAGGAATATCACTGACAAAATATAGGAGGGACAAAAACTGCTTAAGTACTCACATTACTACTACCAAAACAAACATCTCTTAAAATAGAGCCTTATTTTCAAGGAATAGAACTTTAAAAGAATACAGGCTTTCTGTAGATAGGACATATCTATAGTGTCCCCTGTATTATGTTAGTCCCCTGCTTATTTTTTGAGGCACCACATTGCTGTTCTTGCATATGCAATTCACTTTGTCCAACTTTATCTAAAAACTAGACCCTTAATCCACACTGGTTGCCTAGATCTCCTGTGCAGAGGGCAAGCAGCTCCAGAAGAAAAGTGCTAAGATTTCTATGCGATGACATGCAGGCAGAGACATCCAGGACAGCCAACAAACTCTATCATCTTCTGGAGTTACCTACAGTTCTCCATTGATAATGAAAGGATCCTAGACAACCATCTCAGTTATACTCCTTGAAATTAGTGTTAAGTACCATGGCATTTCTTAGCCAAAAATCCAAGACGGTGTGGGACAAACTGGAGCCCTCCATGGCATTAGCAGAGACTGCTGTTGAAAGACAGGCATGCTCCACGGCATTTCTGACTGTAGGGGGATAATCCAGGGGACTGGATCAAACCTGAATCTCCTACAACCTAGCGTCACGCCCAGCCAAATCTGCCCAGTGACAACATGCTTATCTTCACGTTTTATAAGGATGATTCAAGAGACAAGAGGGGAGACAAGGGAAGAAAAACTAATAAATCAGATAGTCTGGCTAAATGGTGGTATCTTATTTGTTTCTTGTTTCTGTAGCCATTAACCCTCAGCAAAAGAAATGTGTCTGATGCCCCTGGGCATGCTGTCTGGAAGAAGTGAATGAAATATTTGTATGCTAAGGCCAAAAGTCATGACAAAAGATGAAGGCATTTTCAACTTCTGTGGCAGAGGTGTAATATGCAGTTTACGTCTAACAGAAACACGGTGCAAAAAAACCTGTTTCATTTATGATATGAAATGGTAGGTACTCCTCAAAAGATACAAATTAAGGTGAAAGTGAGGTGGGGTCATTGCATATTAGAAACTGCAAAGAAACTATAAGGAAGGAATGACTAGGACAAGGACAAAGGGGAAAAAACAGACCTATTCGCTCAGGAAGTTACATTAAGAGCTAGAAGTAAAACTAAATTTTCCAAAAATGGTTAAAATCGGGAGTTTTCCAATTACAGAAGACTAACACAAGCAAACCAAACAAGGGGGATGTGACGGGACAGAAATCGTAGACAAACAAGACAGCCCAAAAGCAAGAATGAATAGTTCGCCTTGGTTTTCACTGGGGACAATAATACTGACAGTGAGAAAAATGAGGAGAAGGGGAAGAGGGTGACTAATAGAACTGAACTGGCCACTTTCAGCCACACTGAGAATGAGCTGGAAAAGACCTTGAAACAGTTAAGCTACAGGAGCAAAGGAATCAGGACATAATAAAAAATGGCTGTGAAATCACCAGTCTGGTAATCAGTGTAATAACCTGCATGTGCAATAAGCACTCAAGGCATGGGTTGTACCACTACAATTGAAAAACAGCAAAAAAAACCCAACACACATTCAAGAAGAGGGAAAACAGTCATCCAAGCAACTATTGATCCACTGCTTTAATTTGTAGGATGCAGGACTTCAGATCAAGTTTGAAGAAAGTATGGAAGTGACAAAAGCAGAAAGACGAGGCAAAATTAAGATTTCATCAAAGTATTAATTTAACAATATTGCACAGTAAACAAGTGAAGCTAGAGTTTTTTAAATGACTAAGAATTTAATAAAAGAGAAGACAGAACGGAGTGTGTTGAAAAGGGAAGTATCTGGAAAAGCTACTAGTGGAGCTCCCAGCATCTGGCCTCTTCTTTAATATTTTCATTAATGACTCTGGCACAACAATTAGAGTGTGATAATGGAAAAAAATAAGGAGGCACCATCAAAACAGAAAAGGATTGACATAATGTACAGGAGGAACTGGAGGACCTTGATGACTGCTGTAATAAAAATTGGATGAAATTCAGTAGTACAAAATGTAAAGCCATGCATTTGGGGACCAATTAATTAAAAACATGCATCTTTCTACTATAAACTAGCAGCTCATCCCTTGGAAAAAAATGGGAAAGGACCTGCTGGCTGTACAAGCTCATTACAGATGGACTGAACTGCCAGTACAAGGAAGCTGTGAGAAATCCAAAGAGGTGCAAAAGGGAGGCAACTCGTGACCAGGATGCTGCAATACAAAAGTCACACAATGTGGTGAGATCTCATCCAAAGTATTGCACATGATTTTGATAAGTCTATAACAAGAGCAGAAAAAGAACTGGTAAGAAAGTAGGGGACTTAAGCTTCTGGCAGATAAATACAGAAGATACGAAAAAGCTTGGCACATTTAGTTTAGCAAATCAAAGACTGAGAAGAAAAAGGATTGCTTTCTGTAAAAACAGCAGGGCAGTATGCATCAAAAAACAAGATGATCTGTTAAACCTAAAAGTTTATTTTGGCATAAGCTCAAGTGAGCAGAAAATAGGTGGATAATTTTTTTAATTTTTTTTTCAACCATGAAGTTGATAAGGCTTCTGGAATAGAATTCGTACTAGATAGAGTGGTGGGAACAAAACCAAAGTATTCTTAAGCTGGAGCTCAAAACAAGCATATTTACAGGCAGTACTAAATGACATGTCTTCCTGTAGCAGGGGCTGCAGGAGGTGCCTTTTAAATTCCATGTTCCAAATAACGCTATTATTAGTCATTACAGAAACAATATAAAACACCCCCAAGGGCAGAAATATTGAAAATTAAAGGTAAAGGGGGAAAAAGTATATATATGAGCTTTGCAAATAATACTTAAGTTTGGTGTTATGGCCAGAATCCACAAATATAAAGACTCCTTATGTAAAATTGGAAAACTAGAATTACAGCTCCACCTACTCTTACACTGTGTTAGGGCAGGGGGGCAGGGGCAGAGGCTGGGGGAAGACCGAGCGGTTTGCATGAAAATGCCATGTGTGATTTCTAGATTCAATCCTAACTTTCCTTAGAGAAAAGCCTTATTCTAGAAGGTAGCAAACAAATCTCTCCAACCTACCTCACAGATCAATACCAGAAAAGTTATGACAGAATAATCTCAATTCTTATTTCAGGTCTATATTGTAGATGCTCCAAGAGGAAAAAGAAAATGCAAAAAAGGTTTAGAAAATTAATTTCTGATTTGTATGCTGCCCTCTAAGACAGCAAAATGTACTAACCAGGTGTCGGAGCTCTTTTAAAAACAGCTTACTCTGAAGTACCACAATCATTTCCAAGCACATAAACACTGAAGACAAACTTCATTAATATAACACGTACAGGATTCCTCTCTCTTCTGCCTAACCTGATAAATTTAGGTAGTTACTTCCCATTCTCTATAAATAAAATGAAAGTCAGTAGCAGAAGATTGGTATTGTACAATTATCTAGATAATCAAATGGAAGTCATGATCACAAAAAATCAATCCCATTACACCTAGAACTAGAAGGGAGTGTTTTCATAGAAAACTTTTGGCTAGGAAGGACCTCCAGAGGTCATCTAGTGCAACCTCCTGCTCAGAGCAGGTCTAAGGAGATGAGGTTGCTCAGGGGCTTGTCTAGTCATGTCTTGATCACCTCCAAGGACAGAGATTCCCTAGAGTCCCCAGGGATTACTAGGATGCATTCCAATTACTGAAATTACCAGTATGGGAGGACACTTTTCTTCTAGTTGTCTACCATGTAGAAAAAATAGTTATTCTGGGTGTGAGAATTTAAGTAATGAAAGGGCAAACCCCCCCCCAATCTTTAAGTTCTTACTTTTACAACTATACTACTTTAAAATGAAGCATTTAATCTACCAAGACACACTAGCAACATAAAACATTTATCTACTTCCTTTCTATCTCCACTGGTTTTACGTATGGAATATTTTAGACAAATAATCCACCATTATCAGTTAAAACCAATACATGCACGCAGATTAATTTTCAAAGTAAAAATAACTCACAAGATATAACCAAATTTGTCTATTTAATTAAAAAATATTTTGGTTTAGTGCTTTATTTCTATTTTATTAACATTTTCAAAGAGTGGAAATAGAACCCAGCTAGGTATATTTTTAAAAGCCTTAAAATTAATTTAACATTTGCTATAATCCATAGGCATTAAAATAAAAAACACATATAAAAAACTGCAATTGTTCTACATACCAACAAGCCTTATTACATTCAGCGTAGTGTTTGTTAGGATAGGTGCATTCACTTTATTGAGGTTATAATCTGATCTCTTTCTGCTCCTCAGAGTTTCTCGAGAAACACTTTCAAGGAAACAAAACAAGATACACCAAATGTGATCGCCTGTAATATTCAAGGACATACTAATAAAACTTTGTAGAAAAGAAATCTTCCCTCCCCCCTTCTTTCAAATGACAGTATTTCTTCCAGTGCAGTATTTTATTTATGCCAAAGCATAACTGGGTTAGCGTTCTAATATCTGAAGAGAAGAATGGCCTAATTAACATAAAATTGTGCTAGAGAAAGGAGTTTCTGAGTTGTAGTCCAAGGCTTGAGTTCTGCAGGCCTCTGTCTGGCCTCAGCAATCATTTTAACCACTCTGACTCAAGTTCATAGGTTATGAAGTAAAGAAAATGAAAACAAGGCAAGTCACAACAAAACAGGGCAGATTAGTAAGCTACAGCTGAAAATTACTATCTGGAAATGGAAACAATTTTCAGGAAGATGAAACTAAAAAGACATTAAATTTTTCATAAATTGTAGTCCCGCGAGAAACAAGGAGTTGGACTCGATGATCCTTATGAACCCCTTCCAACTCGAGATATTCTATGATTCTACAAAAGAAACCTTCTGCCAGCTGCCATACCTCAAAACGATATTATTCCAAAAATTCAGAATGCTTCAATTTTACAGCACAAAACTATAGACAGTGATTGTGGTTTGTTCCAGTTAAGTAAGTTTTTATCAATATCTCCATCACTTCTTTGAAATGAAGTAGTTTATGTGATGTATCTTATGAAATCACGCTAACAATATTTTATCCTAAAGAGTTATTTTGTAGAAAAACATTCCTCTGCTTTGACCCAAGTGATGGCTTTCTAGTTCTCCTGCAATCCTCTACATACAAATAATGTTAGCCTGCTTCACAAAGTCTGAATGGACATCTAAGTAGTACAGTGTCCTAGAGAGAAATTTGTATTTCAGATCCTTTTAAAGGCTACAGAGTTGGCTTTTGTTTACATGAATATATATAAATAAAATATTTTT